TTATTGTTAGTTTCCCGACTTTATACAACAGCCAAACATGAAATAGACCGTAATTTTACTAATCAAAACCCTTGTGGTGACAGTCTGCGGGGAGGTATGGGAACTCGCAGAATGACAAAGGTGCCTTGCTAGCAGACTCGAGCCGCGAACCTCACTTTTTCACACGAGGTGTTCTGCCGTTAATCTGCGGACGACTGGGCTCTCAACCGTGCCAGTTTCCCTATTTTCTGCAATCTGCCATTAAAAGATACTCAAATCACCAGTTATGGACTTGGTAAGACAGGAGGATAGAACCCCCCCCCCCCAGTGATAAAGGTGGCCTTGCGCTTAATGCCAGGAAGGGTACTTACTCCTATGTCCTAACCCTAACCGTGACACAAACTTCAGCCCTAACCATACCTTAACTCTAGTCTCCCTGGATCATAGCACAAGGTCACTTGTATTACAGGAGGTTTCTATTACGCTGTCTCACCACAGATGCTATTTTCAGCGACACCGCTTTCACTAGACCAGACAGGTTGCCCTACTCAAACCGAAAAAACGGCGGTATGTTTACTTCACCTGACTCTCAGTTACAGCACTAGTCGACAACTGTGCGGTGGCTAACAATCCTCTCCTGAGTGTTTCTGGGGAAGGGGAATTTTTTCCTTACGTTACAGTTTAAATTCGACCGGCTAGGAACTGCAGTACCGACGTTAACAAAGCACTCAATGATGGCCTACGACAGGAGAACCTGGAGATCCTACTGAAGAACGATCGAAGGCAGATTTAACTTTCTGCCGGCTGCCGAGAATTAGTGTCTTCCCTATTTGAATCAAGTTTCTTCGTTTCTGCATGAAGTTTTTCGAAGTTAAAGAGTCGATCGTTGGGGAAAATGGTTTATTTGGTAAGATGTAATTCGGTAGCCCCACCTGACGGACACAATAATTTTGAGGCTTGGATTAAGGGTTAGGGGGTAAGGTTAGGGCTAAGGGTTAGCGCAACTATTTCTCAACCATTCAAAGTACAACCGCGCATTCCCAATAGCTTTTCTTTTGCATACAGCTACTTGACCCCGTCGCCCGGGCGTCCCCGGCCCCGCCTGTAAAAACCCCTACTAACACTGGTCCCATATTAGAGGGGACTGGGGTTTGTTTACTTCAGGTGGGGCTACATAACCACATCCGAACGTTTATTTATGTGAGTTACTTCCCAAACTAAACTGATTGTTCCTCTCACGTCTCTATAGGCGGACTAGAGGACTGGTTCGAAGGCTGAGATTGGTAAATTATTGTTCCCGCGCTCGCCTCCCAAATTTTAACAAATTGGCGTCCTGCAACACGTGTTTTCTCGACGAATCGTGAGGACCCATTAACATAACAGCGATGTGCGGGATACCGTATGGAAATTGACCATGATCCCGGTTGCTTTAGTTGACACATATGGACCCCCTTAAAGGTACGTACATGAGAATGCGGCAACATTATTTAGGTGGGAAACGGGGACATTTTGATGTTAGTACAGTTTTAAAAGCTACAACATTATCTTCTACAGTTGTTTCAGTGATCCAACTGGCAATGACCCAAAGTTAAAGACAAGGTGTCTATTCCATCTCAACAACTTTGCGGCAACTGTCTTTTTCTCTTTTTCAGGAGACAACTGCCCCCGAGTGTTAGGGTGCCAGACTAAATTGCCGCTCCCTGTGTTTTCGGTGTTTCACGATAGACTGGGGGATGTGGTGCGGCATTACGTCTGGAGAATGGACGACAGGGAGCCGAAAATGACAAGCAATTGTGCCAACTGGCGTGACGTTAACCCCCTCAAATTACGTCAGCCTAAGTCCTTTCAATAATACCATCCGCCGGAGACGTAACTGAGCAAGATGAAAAGAGCATTTTGGGAAGGACAGAAACCCGTTCCGTGTATTTTCTGGGAAAATGCAATAAACGTTAAAATGGCCTATTATGTCGGGCAAAAAATTAGTAGATGTGGCAATGAGAGCGTAAGATGTCCTTGCCTTGGAGGAGTTTGGAATACGTCGTCCAAATTAAGATAAGGTAGTATGTTATTACTGGCAAAGGCAAGGGGGGGCTGAGATGGCTGGGATGGGAGAGAGCCCGTAAGGCACAACGGAACGAGTGAGTTCCGTAAGAACGATCGGTGAGCGCCCCCTATCATTAAGATAAGGCGTGAGATCCGGTAGAATGTGTGCGAACCAAGGAACCTGTCGTGGTGGTCAGTCATCAGTCAGAGCAACTGGGGATCCAGATTTCCATTTCAATAATCATTGTCACCGGCTACTTAACTAAACACTTCCAGGCGGTGACTTTTCGGATGCGTCGAGCACTCATCCTTGTCTAAAGATACTATGATCCGTAGTTTTCACCAAGGCCTACTTACCACTTCATCGCATATCTCCATGATAACGTCAAATCTAGAAAAGTTCCCTTAGAGGATTCATTCAAACTTTCAGCATGGACTAACTAACATAGGAAAGGCTAACTTGAGAGACCCTGAGCTACCTTACATGATTTTATGGGGGGAGGAGGACTAGTGGAAATCGGCAAACTCAACGGACCAGAAAGACTGTCTTGTTTCTTGGGTAGAGGATTCAGTGGATCACTGACATTGGCCGTTGGAAGAACTGTTGTAGCCTATGCGCAGTTGACCATCAGGGTCATAACCCGAGGACCAAGGTATCGATGCTCGCCGAACTTATGCTACACAGAAACCTATGTATTGATGTTTGTACGGGAGTTCAAAGAGGCGCGCGTGCTGTAGAACCGGCCCAGATATCTACTTGCACGCAGTAAACGGGTTGATGTGTATATTGCGTGCGAGAATGATGAACACTCGTCTAAAATACTGGGAGAGCCAGGAAAAGAGCGAAAATGTTTTTTTTTATGTAGCCTACCCTTCAGGCGCCCACTGAATGAACTCAGTTCACAGCACACATTCTTAACGCCAGAGGGTGTAGATTATGTGAGTGCTAGTTTAGCGTAGGTCTATTACCAAGGTTTGTCCAAATGATACTGACTTTTCTTCTTATGGCTAGCTTCAGACTATGAAGTTTGCACACACTAAGGCGATTCTGTCTAATCAGCATAATGGTTTTAAGACCAAAGCATTGGGGGGGGGGGAATACCTGTTGAACATGAGGTATGCCGTAACCTCGCAAATGAACACGGTTTTATAGGCAGAGTAATAAATCCGAGCATAGAACGATCGGCATCAAGAGACCAGTTGGTGTCTCAAATAAATATAACCCAAATTGCAAAGTAGTAGTATCGATCATTAAAATCGTATTCGAACTAACTATCAGAGCAAGAATCAGAGGTATATGAAAACGCACATGAGATGCGTTGTTTACAGGAGGACATCGCCGCGCAAAAATTAATGCAATTCGCTTACGCCGTCACTGAGACTGACCTTCTCGCCTATATCGACATGCACAGACTGCTGCAATCTGGGTACGGTTTCCCCAACACATTTGAAGGAAATTTGGGAGGGTAAAAGAGATTCGAAAACTAAATTCGGTCCTTTCATCGTAATCCCCGTAAACGATTGTTAACGTTCCTCCAACTACTTACAACCATACGGTGAAATTTACTGCGTCATAAAGTTAAAAAATTCCTGTAGAAGAATTCCGTAAAATATTTAGCTGGCGGACGATAACTTATCATCAGACAAGGACAGATCGCCAGCTCAAGCCATGTCCACGTGTATTTACTATTTCACTTGTCCCTGTGAATCAGGTTATATTGGCCGCACGAGTCGGCGCCTGTCCGAAGGGATGCGTAAACCACTCCCATCACCGTCGCTAAAAGGCGAAATTAGGAATGTAGACAGCACCATTCTTGTACGCATGGTTGATTCTGGGTATCGTGTGGAAGTCAACCAGGACCTCCGATTGATTTATAGACTTCCACCAAACTACTCGAAACCACTGGCACAGCGTCTACTAGTAACAACGGAAGTGGCCGCAATCAAGTTACACAAGCCGGCCTGGTGCAGACCCCCAGTAGCCTAAGCCAAAGGCTAATTAACGTGCTAACCGCACCCAATTTTCTGCGCTTTCCTCCCCTTCCCGTGACGCAACCCTTCCTAGCCCTCTCCTCGTTCACACTAATTATCATTGTCTGGCTAGACAGATACTGACCGCAGTTACTTATATTTGCATATTTTTCTAAACTCCGCTTGTGCGCAATGGGGAATAGTACTCAAATTCACTCGCTGTCCACATGTTTTTGTTGACTTCGTCGCTATATGGTGTTATCTTATAGGTCCCTGCGGCTCTTGTGCCAATTTATAGAAAAATCCTGAATAAAAGAGGCTACATATCGATCGACCACTTGATGTGTAGTCATATTCTTAGATTTTACAAGAATTAGATCTCGGCCATTGCTAACAGAAAAATCACAAGACCTGATCAAATAAATATAGGAACTAGGTACTGGTGTTTTTCATGAGGTGTGACAAAGTATCTTCAGTGGAGGTCTGCCAACTGATTCTGGCAATCCGAAGAGAATTAAACTAAACCCTGTCCACTAATTCCAACTATTTGAATCATTGCCTTGAGGGAAATTAGCGAAATTTGCAGCACCAGTCTCTTCCAGGTACGACGGCCTAAAAAATGAAAATAGAATGCGTGATGCAAGGTTTTGGCCGCACAGGAGTTGCCTAATTCAAAGGGAGACATATTGGGCACTGTGGCGGTACATTGCTGCACGGGTTCTGCACATTCTGCAGAGAGAGAGAGAGAGAGAGAGAGAGAGAGAGAG